TAAAAAAAAATGTATGTTCCTATTTAAAAAACCCAAGGTGACCTTGACTTTGCCAAGAGAACAAACTGTTTTAAAAATTTGCTTTACTAATATCTATTGTGCACTTCATACCCTGCTAATATTGTCCTAAACATTTTTTCGTAAGGTGGCTGCAAGTGGGAGAAAAATCGTGAGTAGCGTTACAGATAACACCCTGTATACAAACTTCTATCAGTGATTTGTTTCTACTTTTAATAACAATGAAAATAATTTTGATGTTCAATTTTATTACTATTAATTATGCATATGTGTAACTATAGCAATATAAATGAAAAATTAAGAACAAAAGAGAATATGTATTTAAATAAATACTTTAGGTATGCTCCATATTTTATCATCCGATTTATGTAACTGCAAATATTTTGTTTTAAACTTCCACAATTTGGCAATCCAAAAACACCTTGATGTTGACCACCCACAGAAATAAAATTCTTAGCCGGAGGATTCGGGCATCTTTGAATTACCGCTCTCCTGTAGCATATTAAATTTAAACGATTGTTTTAGTTCTTTATAATAAATTAGTGTGAATTAAATTTATATGCATATTTGTTTTAACTATCCGAACAATTTTTTATTTTTTTTCATTTTTTTAAGATTATTATTATAGAAATAATTATACTTTATTATTATAATTGAGGAGGGATATTCAACTATAAGGGTGAAAGTCAGGTCTAGATCATGTAATTTGAGATTTCATAGTGATCTTTGTTTTTTCTTAAACAGAGCTACATATTTTTTTAACGAATTCATTGTTTGGAATATTCTACGCAAAAATAATATTACGACAATATTAATATTAATATTAATATTATAATAATATTATAGTATTAAAAAAATTCATACTTTCTAAGATGTTTTATAAAGTTTAAAATATTTTAGGAACTATCGATTTATTTTACGTTTTAGAACGTAATGCAAACAAAAATCAATAGTTTGTGAAATATTTCAAATTTTTGCATAAAAATTTCACTCTTGAATGTAAAATGTCTTGTAACTTATTGATATTTTTAACGTTGTGTTCTAATGCTTGTTACTATACTTTATTATTTGTTTCTTCAAAATCAAAAAAAAATCTTATTCGAGTACAAATAGTACAGAAAGAGGTTAATAATTTTTTAATTGTACAATAAATATATATTTCTTTCCCGATTATTACATGTTAATGTAATTTAAAACACTGAAATATTCAGTAACATTATGTGATACAATAATTTGTTTCATAATATGTACATATATATAAAACAAAGATTATACATATTGTTAGATCGTATTTGATCTTGTATTTATTATGTTCCCGACTATTATAATATTTGTCTTTTAAAAAATTAAAGTAACCAAAAATAATGGACCACCCTATATATGTCACACGAAAATATAAACAGATATGTAGCGCGAAGAGCGCGCACGTCATTGGCCATTCGATAAATTGCCGCTTCCTGAAAAAGCACACCTTCACAGCCGCTGGTTGTGGCGCCGTTAGTTATTCAACTGCCATTGTAGTTGAAGCCAAATAATGGGAGAATATGGTAATCATTAAAACAGTAAACACATAAAATAGAATATATAGAACATAGTTATTATGTTAAGACCAAGTAGCAATGATACTTGTATCAAAACAGTATCAAATGAGTTAAATACAAATAATTCGAGTTCGAATTCGAATTCGAATAAACGAAAAGGGGTTTTGACAATGCAACAGAAGTTAGAAGCAGTGAAAAAAAAAGATGCTGGTCTTTCTACAGTTGAAATAGCAATTGAATATAATACTAGTGAAACAACAGTGAGAAGGTGGAGCCGTGAAAGAGAAAAATTTGAAAAGCAAAGTTCTTTATGCAACACAAAATGTGTACGTTGGTCACCACTTGAAAAAGTTAATGAAGCTTTAACCATTTGGTTTCAAAATGAAAGAAAAAAAAACAATTCACTTAGTGTTATAGAAATTAAAGGTATTATGTAAATATTTTTATAAATTATGTTAAAATAAAGCAATAAAAATACCAAAATAAACATTTACTTAAAAAATTTGAGCTCAGGTTAATGAAACAATTATTTTATCTATATCTTTATATATTTCCTATTTGCATAAAGTAATCCTGTTTCAATTATTATATTAATTTTACTAGCAAAAGCTCAAGAATTTTTTCGTCAATACGGAGGTGCAGAATCATTTAAAGCAAGCGATGGTTGGTTTAGAACCTGGAAAGCGAGAAATGGTATTCGTTCCATAGCAATGGCTGTAGCACCATCAACTACTAATACAAATGTAACAAACCAATTTACAACTGAAATACTAAAGATAATGGAAAAAGAAAAATTAACTTTACATCAAGTATTCAATGCGGATGAAACTGAACTTTACTTTAAAATGATGCCAAATAATAATTCAATTGTAAAGACTGAACATGAAACTCCTAACTCTAAAAGAATTAATGACAGATTGACTATAATGGCATGCTGCAATACCACTGGTTCATTCAAAATGCCATTACTAGTTATAGGGAAACCTCAAAAACCATCAGTATTGAAAAATATAGCTCCACAAATGCTACCTGTCAAGTACACAGATCACAAAAATGCTTGGATGAGTACTACCATTTTTGAAAAGTGGTTTAAAGAAGATTTCGTGCCTCAGGTTACTAATTTTTTAAAATCAAGAGGATTGCCAGTGAAAGCAGTTTTACTATTGGATGATGACAAAACATATCCACCAATAAATACATTAACTGTTGGTGGAATTAAAGCTATATTTTTGCCATTAAATGTGACCCTGCTTAGCCAACCTCTCGACCAAGGAATTATTAAAATAGTAAAAAGAAGATACAAAGCAGAATTCTTAAAGTTCTTAATAAATGCCCAAAGTAATGGGATTAATTATTATCAAGCAATAAACTCATTCAGTGTCAAAAATGCAATTGATTTAGTTAGTCATGCTTGGAAGGATGTTACTGAAAATTTAATCTACAATTATTGGAAAAAATTATTAACTATGCCAGTTGATGACGAGAACAATTCTGATTACGTCACTTCTGAACATATCCACCAAATGTGCAGAAAAATTGAAAACCATGAAGATGTTACATTGGACCAGATCAATGAATGGATCCATAATGACTGTTTGTCCAGTCTTACTGATGAAGAAATCATTGAAGCTGTAGAAAATCCCCACAGTGAAGAGAATGGTATGTTCAGTCATATAAAGTTCACATTTGGTTATAAATGATTAATGTTCGAAGAAAAAAAAAAATGTATACACAACTTTTAATTGCAAACAAATTGTATAAATAATGAAGATCTAATTGCTGTGTTTTAAAACAGCTCCTAAATGCTTTCCAAAAAGTTAATTGCTTAATTTTACATTAACATTAAAAAATAAATATATATTATTTTTTATAGCAGATACAGAAATTGATGATCCTGTGGAGAAAGAAGTAACACCTTCAGTGGCATTAAAAGATATAGACTGTGCAATTTCGTTTTTTGAATGTAATGGAGGAATATCACTTTCTGATATAAAGATTTTAAAAAGGATAAAAGGTCAATTATTAAACCTTAAAAATCAGCTTTAATTAAACAGAATATATTATAAGAAGATAATTTTTATAGGAATAAAAATTTATATATTTTTATATTCCGGCTCAATTATTGAACTCCTTTTCAAAACTTCCATCATTTGTTATAGTTTCAAAATATGAAAAAACAAAAGATAGTGTAATGAATAGATTATGAAATCAAATATAAAAAATTAAATTTATTATTACAGTAATACAGTAACTAACCAAATCTAACCTAAATTAAAATCAAATATGCACACTGTTGTCAGAAACTATACAATCAAATTAATGTGATTATTGTTCACTAGCCAACGCTTAGTTATCTCTATACAAATGTCATCGCTTCTTTTTCAATAATTTTTTGTAATTGCTACTGTAACTGTTTTTACACTAAGCGCGCAAATGCTCGTTCTTGCTCCATTACGATAAAATTCAACGCTTTCGTGTTTTGTTTCTTACACTTGAATTTTATTAAGGTCAAGGACTAGTGAGTACTTGTTGTTTAATGTAAACATACTGTAAAGGGGGAAAAACATTCTTTAATGCTCAACAAGCGAACTAGCGACAAGAGAAACAGGTGCCTAGTTTCGATTGGCTAATTTAATATAACTCCAAATTGAAGCATTACAATTGCTAAATTTTTAAATTTAAATATTTGAAAGCCTTGAAACTAATAAGTTTATATAAGTAATTCCTGGATTTATAACCTTGGAAATTAAACATTTTTAAATTTGAAAATTATTAATCTCTAAATGTTAAAATGTAAAGTTCGAAAATTTTATAGTGTATCAATTAAAACTTTCTAAATCTCTAAATATACAAAATAAAATATGTGTAAACAATTACTTATTTAGCGTTAATATAAAAAGCTGCATTAATCAGTGTTTTGTAGTTTTTCATAGTTGAAAAATTATAATATAGAACATGTGTAGAAATGCAATCAAACACATTTGGGGCCCGCGTCTCCATTCTCTTATCTATTTCTAGGTCTATGGTGAGTACTCAGTTTGAAGTCAAGTTTACATTAGTAAGTGGTAGAATAGCTAGTGCTCGTATTCAAGAGTAAGAGAGATAGCGATAAAACTATCTCTCTCACTCTTGAATACTAGCACTAGCCACTCTACCACTTTCTGTATCAATGTAAACCTGGTTTGAATGAGAAAGAAAGAATGCTCAATTCTATCGAAGCGAGAAAAAAACTGAACATCCGCTACGTAACAGGTGTTCAGTTTGAATACTTAAGCTGAGATGATACATATCAGCCTATACAAAAATGTAATAAAACTCAAAGTAATTTTAAAATCTTTATAATACAGGTATAACAAAATTTATGAAATTTTAATAAATTTAAAGATTACTAGCGTTTTACGAAGAAAATTAAAGACTACGAAAATTATTGTTTAATGCAATGTTTCGGCCCATTTTGAAATCCATTTTAAATCAACTAATAATTACATGAAATCAAATAGTTAAATTGAAAAAAATACAAGTCACAAGAAAAAATACTATTAGTCAAAATTAACAACAGATTGGATATTGTATTTTACCTATATTTTACCACTGTTAATTATACATGAATTATTTTATTAATATCATTAAAAATGATACATACATAAATTGACCACCTTGAGAAAATCCAATGGCATTGTAACCATCTTTGAAACGTTTATCTGTGGATAATAGCTGACACACCTCCTGTATTTGTTCATTGACATTTCCAAAATAACTGTGTTCAACATCCTGAAATATTACAATATATTTTTATTAAATTTGTAACATGATACTATTAGATTGGTGACTTGTTATATACATGTAATAATTCAAACACAATTTAGATATGTAACATTCTATCTCCCTCCCTCTCTCGCTCCGCCGCGATATGACATAATATTTCATACACTAAATCAATATATTAATGATCCCATTGTATAATTTAGTCGTATATAACTTGTAGAATAAGTTTTTTTGATAACAATTTTAGTTTTCGAGAAAGAAAACTATAATTGTATCAGTAATCTAAATATATGGATTAATTTGTAAAAATATGTAATTAAAAAAATAGATAGTACATACATATTTACAATTTTTTTATTTTGGATTTAAAGCATGTTACAAAATGTTGTCTTCTTTTACATTCTATCCTGATACTTTTTCACGCGCAATATTCTACAGAATCAGTCTATACAAAATATGCAATTCCGTTAAAAGAAGAACGAAGGTGACTGTAAAATTATTTCAAATAACGAATAATTAGGGAGATAATAGAACAACTTGGGTATATTCTAAGTGGATGTTATTATCATTTGTTCATAATTTCACTGAGTGTAAATATTTCGTAATTGTTTTATTTATTTATGTAAATATTACACAAACGATAAGTCAAAAATATTTTTATTTTACATTATTGATAAGAACAAATTTTACCTCTTTTATATATTACAATAACTAATAAGTGATATTTGTACATTTTCATGCACTGATTACGGACCTGTAAATGATTTTTCTCTATTATTCTCAGTTTTGAGAAATCTGGTTTTAGAAACAGTGAAGATATCACGTTTCTATTTTCCTCTACTTTAATTGTAAAAGTTGTATGACTTAAAGTTTTTTCAAGGTCATTCCAATATCAAATAAATGTCAGTATCTTTGCCGATATCTGATATTAAAATAATTGTCCATATTTCGCATATATTTGAAGATATTTAAATTGCACACATTACACATTTCCATAATATTACAATTATTTGAAACAGTCATTAAATCGAATTAGACAATCGTCTCGCGATAATTTTTTTAGATTAAAAATTAAGGATTCGCGAAAAAATCTAGGCACACAAAACAGACTTTTTTTCTATTAACAACATTGAAGAAATTATAGAACAGATTTTCAATCGAAGAAATAAAATATTACTATACATTATAACATAATAATAAATTGTATGATGTAATACCGCGGGACGTGAGGTACTGGTATTGTTACTGTGTTTCAACGCTAATGGAGGTCTCAAACGATCAATATACACCGTCAATATTTCAAGATTCTAACGATCAATACATAATATCAATACAACACCATTAATATTTCAATATTGTTAATAAATATTGAGAACCTTGAAGTATTGACAATATGCACTATCGTCAGTATAATCTCCATTGCGATCATTCAATGCAACTCAATGTAACTGCAGAGACATGTCAAGTCAAACGATGCAATGTGCATATTTTGTGACATGAATTTTTTGAATATTTTAAAAGCGATCCAGTACTTGTTACTCTAATTATGTGTTTACTATGCCTGTGCAGGACTATGGAAGAAAATTTACATATACGATTCATATGTAAATATTGTATCCAATGAACTCACGTTATATTGCCACGCGTTATATCGTCACGTGAGCGACTTCCCCTTCACACAGACTTTCACGCACTCTAGTGGCGTTTCCCCACCATTATATCGCACAGAGATGAAGCGGACGCTTGCTGCTACCTCTCCCCCCTTCCAAACAAGGGCTACGACAGTTGACGTGCTACATGGACGAGACTTTTGTTATATCGCCATTTCTAAAAACTTTCCGCTCCTACGCCCGCGTTTGTGCTGACATATTACAAGTTTCCTGTATTAGCAAGGTAGGTGTGTACAGTTTCACCATACTATTGTTTGGAGCGTTGTATAATTTTTCTAAATATCTGTTTAGTGAGATCTTTAAATGTCCCATACAGTTTAGACTCTTGTCCGACGCTTGGACTAAATTAATGTTTAAAGAAAGTGACTTTTAATTAGTACAGAATAAAACTAGTAAAAGGTTACGACTGGTAAATACACAGTGTATACAATTTCACCATAATATAGCGAACTTATAAAATTCGTCATAAAAAAAAGTGCATACGAACAGTTTATGTTTAGTCTTATACATTACTGGAGTGAATTCTGACTAATAACATAACAAATGAATAACGGAGTAACAAATGAATAATTAATTTCGTACAAATTAAATAAAAATAAGAAATTATTAAATCAAATCATTCTTAAACTGTTTGTAATATTTTCTTTAATTCTTAGGATTAGTTATTATCACTGCCTGGTCCTTTTAAATGTTTTGTGTATACAACAACACACTTGACAACAAGACTAAAATATAATTTATGTTGTTTTTAATCTCATTGGTAATGAAATTGCACATGTTTAGGGTAAATAAGTAATTATATAGACAATAAAATAAAATTCAATAACATATTAATATTAAAGGTATTAGTTTATAAATTATAGATGATGTTTATCAAAGTATAAAATAAAATTACACTGCATTTAATAGTATATAATAGTAGTAATAAGGAATATTTCTTTTTACCTATAAAGTTTCAAAATAGTTAACAAAACAAAAAGAAAATTTTTTTAGAGGATTTTATAAAAAATTAAGATGTAAAACTTGACTTATTTAGTTACTTTTACAGAAATTATATACATATACTTCACTCTACTAATCAATATAATCATCATTATTTTATAACTGACACAACGAAATAATATTCGTTACAGTTTCTTATACATTAGAATATCAGTAATAATACTATTAAAATCTTCTTTTGTTGTTTACTTATCAATTTTTAAAGTTGATAAAAGTATTATACCATTCATATTGCCATTACATATATGAGTTACTAACATATTATTAATGTTACTTTGCATTCTAATATTTTATGACCCTCAGAAACGTGATAAACATTAAGTCATTAGCATTCTGAAACTATAATTATTATGGAATAAGTTAAATAAATCACTTTAAATACATGTTAAGCAAAAGTATATATAAACATTTTATTATTGTATGAACAACTAGCATTAATTATGCTGTAAAACTGTAACAAAAATAACTGATGGTTGTTTTAAAATGTAAATATTACAATTATTTTGCAAATTTTCATAACTATTACTACTATATATAATTAAAACTTCTAGTAGTCCATATTAATTGAAACATTTGTCCTTTTTACTCCTAATACTAGTTAACGATCCTGATTATTAGTCTGTTTATGCAATTTTGTATGGACAGTAAATCTGAAAATAACTAGCACATTTGTATACACCTGCTTCTAAACAAATTTAACATAATTTAACTATATTTAACACAATTTTATTAACACAATTATAATTTACCATAACTATTTTTCACAATAGTATTCTATACCTTATATTTTTTATATATACGCAATTTGAAGTGCAACAAATGTAATCATTTTGTTGTCTATTTTGTTTCTAGGAGCAAGTGAGATGTACAAAAGTTCTTGGTTCGTGTTCGATACCCTATGATCCATATTGGATAAATACAAGTTTGGGATAACATTGAGCACGGTAAGTAATCTTCATGTTGTTTAATCGAAAACAACTAACTTATGTTATCATTCTTCAAAGCTATTTATATTGCAACAATTATTGTATAATTTGAAAAGGCAATTTAAATTAAATATATAGTAAATCTAAAGTTCAGTTATAATATGCATTCAAAAAAAAATATAAAAAATTATTTAATGTCTCGGCATTGCTTTTCTTCTGTGAACAATATTCCTGTCATACTACTTTCCTCCTTTCAAAAAACAATCTACTAATTGCTTCTTCACATTTAACAATCTATACTTAGTGTAACTCTTTTTTGTGGAAAATTCTTCCATAGTAACCTATGTCTACAAACATGAAGTTGTAATTAACAAAAATCAAAGAAATATGCATGATTCTAAAACCCTTCATTGTTTATGTACTTGTTTTCGCTTTTTAGAGCATACTATGGGTTCATACGTTTGCTGTCAATGGTCCCTATGCAGGATAAGAAGTTCCATATACTTTTATACTCTGTTGTCACTTTCAGTCAATTGTTTTGTTTTTTTGTTTTGGATCTGTAAAAGAGCATGCCAAGTTTTTAACTATTAACCACTAGATTATAATCCATAAGATCAAATTTGCTAAAAGTACTGCTTTTAAGAAACATATTCAATTACTTCCTTTCTCCTTTCCTCATCCTTAATATCCAACTGACCATGGTTCCAAATTTTTACTCTATCTGAAACAACTGCTTGTTTATTAAGCAATTTTACTGTTCTTAATGATTTTAGTATTTAAGATTTAATATTATAATGAATATTAGTATTCATAATTAATATTTGTATTAATATTAGACTTTTTTAATATATAAATTTTACCACAGTCGTTGTTTAGTTACTTACATACATCAAGAAGATACTTATAATTAATAATTGCAAATATGAAACACCTCAATGCACTAATTTAACAAAACTTATGTATATACAACATGTATATGTACATACATACACGCATTTAATTTGATTGGAATTAAAAAATTAAAGAATAAAAATAATTCACTAAAATAATTCATATTAGAAATACTCTAAATAAAAATAAAATAAAAAGATAGAAGAATTAAACTACAGAAGAAATAATAACCTCAACTCAATATATATTATTATACAATTAAAAATTTTAAGTGCATTGAGATAATCATAATTAGTAGTACTAAATAGGATAGGTATAGAAGTTAACGTGCTTTTATTCTATATAAACATTACAACTAATGATCTATCGTAAGTAATCATAATATTACACACATGTACACTCACATACACACGCACACACACACAATAGTTTTAATTTATAACCAAAAATTATTATTCTTTGTTTATAATACTGTTGTTTTTTGAGTTACAAATAAAATATGTTATAATATTTATCGGCGTCAGTTTTCAAGCTACTGCAATATTGATTTCTTCACGAGAAAATAGGGTCGTTGGACGAATGAATTTTCGTTCATTCTGCACATGTGAGCTCTGATTGGTCTAACACGCTCTGTTACGCACAAGCGTTACAGGACGTAAACGACCCCGAATGTATGTACCGGGTGATCAAAGAATTTCGTACGATTTTTTCTACCTAACGAGCATTATAATTTTTAGCATATTAAAGTTAAAACTAACAGTATTCGATGTACATGTATTTTCACATTGAAAGTGAGGTAGAAAAATAAAAGATGAAACAAACTATCATGTACAGTTACCACGACAAAAGCAAATACATATTTTAATAAAAACACCTTAAGAGATTCTATAAGTTAAAATAAAAAGACTGAAACATATCATTTTGACTAACTTCGTAGTTTTGATGTTAAATATTCCTTCAACAGGTTTCTCATTGTCAAATAAATTTCTTGGAATAACAGTTTAGTTCTTAAAACCAAGAAATTACTGATGTCTGACTTTGTTGAGGGTTAAAAGTCATTATGAACTAGTTTACCGACTAATTGCACGACAATAATAATTAGTAAATTATTTTTTATATCTTAAACACTTTATTTTGTATTCATGATAAATAAATTGTGCTAATGTGCTATAAATGGTGAATTTCTAACAAAGAAACTCCTAAATATTTTTCTCAGATTTTGATCAAATTTTACACGTTGTTTGTTCACATTATTTCGAGTCTTTTTATACGGAATTTTAAGTAAGTCAATTATTTATATTTACATAGTAATATTTCAATAAAGTTTATATGTCACGAAAAATAATTCAATTCAACATAGTCAAAAATGGGATAAAAAGAAATGCATGTTCGATACTGCATTCTTTAAGAATTCCAAGATGTTGCAAAAGCATTATTTGAATTCGTTCATTTTCATTTTACGAAATGAGAAAGATCCACAAGGAAAAATTGAAATAAAAGAAACAGTCGGCAAGTAACAGTAAAAGAAGTCTTCCTCGTGGAAAGTGAAAATGCAGGTTACACGTTGCTTCAAAACTGTAAAAGAACCATAATGGATTTAGGTAGGCGTAGTCGCTAGATATCTTTTTTTCCGTTTATCACTTGTTTTAGTCCATGTGACATGTCGACACCGATAGGCATGTCTAATCAGTGGAGATACAAAAATGACTGGATGATTTCATCGTGTCCAAAGACAGTATATATCCGAGATAAAGTTCATCAATTGCCTAAAAGATGGTTTAAGGCTCAAGGTTATAGGAAGCAACGACGAATACTTTAATTGAAAAATTTATCTCATTTCCATTTAAAATAAATCTTAAACCACGTTGAACAAATTGGATTATTTGTATATTCAAACATGATCTTTTCGTTAAAATTTCTTACGTCGAGTGCATAATTCCAAGCAGAAATTTAATATCGAACGATATAACGGTTACAAGATATTTAACAGGAAGAGAAGTAGCAAACACTGAAAGTGTCACGAAGGCTCCAAAACAATTTCAAGTATGTACAAACAGGTTGAGTAATAAACAGTTTCAACGTAGATCTTGTAATAAAAATATTAAAAAGTAAAAGTAATTGTTTAATTTAAAAAAAGATTTCATTCAACGTTTTCAATAGCGTCTGTTACTTTAAAAAATCTTAAATAAATGATAAATCTTAGAAAAACTTTAAATATTCGTTAAACTGTTGATTGTATACGAAAACATAAATCGTCCTTCATATACAAAATTCTCCAATATGCAATTTAATATGCGACAAACTTAAGAGTGAAATTACTGTTCAACAGATATGTTTATCATTTTGATATGAAATTAGGAACAGAAACTTCAACACATGTTTAGTGCAAAAATGTAGAACTAAATGTAAAAATGCAAAAAAATGTAAAACTTTGAACATTCATGGATTTGGCATAAGGAATACGATGTAAAAACTCATAAATAACATGATCTATTAGAATGCCGAAATTTATCAATATCACAAATTTACAAATCAATTTACTTTCAAAAGGAATGTATTTTCAATTGTTTTTAATAATTATTTTTCCTTAAAATACTGTATATGTATAATTTATTATTATGTAGGGTGTTTGAAGGTTACCTTCATTTTCGAGAAAAAAAATGTAAATATAAACAGTTAATGTAGGTAACTGCGTTACTGGCAAAATATAGTACTTTTTTCTCTTTCATTTTCTTGAAATTCTTGTATATACGAAAAAATACTGGTGTATATATAATATTATGTGTGACTAATACTACACAATTCTAAAATGCTATAATATATTTTCACAATAAACTCATATTATAGTATACATTAAACAGGATGATTCATAAAAGTTGTTTGGTGTTTTAAGATAAAATATAATAACTAGTATTTTATTTTATGTTTTTATCATTTAATGCATCAAATTTGATTCTGCGATTGGAAAGAATAACGTTGAATAAAAAGCCGTAGGAATCGATCCTATAACCAACAATTATAGACATTCTTTAAATGATTCATAATAATAGCAGTGCTTAAAATATTGCGCGTTACATTCGATACAGATACGCACTTACACGATCAATAAATGCAAATGCACACATTCAAGTATTTCTTGAGTCATTAAAATATATGCTCTAATAAGCATGTAAAATGATACATCAATATTGTACGGATTTTATATTCACGAAAGTTTATCATTGTTATTATTGTTTACCATTGTTCACTGAAGGATATCTCGATAATTATTGAATTTTAAAACTATATGCACTAATAGCTTTTTGTGTGTCAACATTGTTTCTAATCGCAGGATAAAATTTTAAACATTATGAAAATCTGAAAGTGAGCTTTACATTTCGATAAAAAAACTGATTACATCGCGTGGTTTTGATACTATGTAAATTTTATTTGGAACAATGGCGAGTCGTGTATAGACATGTGGAACTGTAGCATGTTCTATTTCTATTTGATATTATCGACAACATTATTGATAATAATAAGTAAAAAATGTTTGATTTTGTTCTTTTAGGATTTTATCAAGTTTCTGAATAAATTTTCTTTTTATAGAATTTTTAAAGTTTACAAATTTTCTGGAGCCCCACTAATTTTAGCTACGAACCTGGCTTAGAACGTTCTCTTTATATATAAATAAATAATAAATAGTTTATGAGTAATTTGGAAGTAGTTAGGTGAATGACCTGTACTTTACACGGAAAGTACATTAATCTGTATGTATCTCTACGATGACTGTACTATTTTAGAATAAATTGTATTTCACTTACCTGAATGCAGTCCTTTAGTGCTTCTACAATGCTATCAAATACTTTTGGCATAATCTTGTTGATTGTTCAGAACTTTTAAAAATAGGCGACTTGCGCATACATTTGTAATAATACTACTGTACATTTGTAATATTACTACAATAACAATATGTACATATATATGTATTTTAGAAACGTTTTAGTTTCTAAAATCAGCCTAACCTGGCGATTTAAAAATTCACCAACACGATAATTTTCTCTTCTTTTTATAGTATTATGTTAAAGCTTGATGAAACAAATATTGGTAAAATACAGGTATTTTATATTTGTTTTATTGTTTAAAAATAATGTATACTGTTAATATCTATGCAAAATCGTTAGACGATATAACGGTATATGTATTTCAATATAACTTTTGTAATATCGGTTTTTGCAGGGCAATGTAAGGGTTTTAATTAAACCTTTCGTTATGAGAGAGGTTAACGCCGAATGCTCATTTTTAATAATGATATGAATGAATAAATAATGCAATAGTTAGTTAAGAAGATAAAGGATGGAAATTGTTTTTAGAAAATTAAATAAGGTATCAATTATATATGTTAAATAACTTTTATACGAAACTGAAAAATGATTAATAAAATTAATTGTATGCGTCAATCGATGGTATGATTTAAAGCACGATAATTTCTCTAGGGAAAATGGGGATATAGGGGGAAAAGTTCTATCATTAGTACTCAAGTTAATACGTATTATACTTATTTGCATGAATAAATTTAAGAATTTGAAAATTTGTGAGTTTGAGAATTTGGGGATTTGTGAGTTTGAGAATTTGGGATTTATGAGTTTGAGAATTTGGGGATGTGTAAATTTGAAAATTTGGAGATTTGCAAATTTGAGAATTTGGGGATTTGTAAGTTCGAGAAATTGGAGATTTGCAAATTTGAGAATTTAGGGATTTGTGAATTTGAGATTTTAGAGATTTGTAAAATTGGAATTATGAGATATTGGAATTCTACGAATTTTCAAAGTTAAAAATATAGTTATTTGAAAAAAAAAAGAAAATACAGGAGAAAATAAATATTTCTTTCACTAGGAATATTCTTCATTAATTTATATCTGTAACTTGTCCTGATAGATCTTCAATTATACGTCACTGAAGGTTAGATAACTGCACAATACCACTCAATAGATGTATGGTAATTATCTCTGCTCAGGGGGATAATTACCCTTGACGTAACTGAAAACTGGATGAGCAACTACTATAATCTAATTCGAATTCACGTACTAATGATATAACACTCATTCAACAATGAAACCTTTTTCATTCTTTTTTTCTCGATTCCTTTTTAACACAATTAACTAATGTATTTATAAAATATATCTGATTAAAATAAAATCGAACACAATATATTTTACATCACCACTTATTTAATATTTATCATTATTAAATATTTATTATATTATTATTACTATTATTACTATTTATTTAATAGACTAAAGAAAATAAGTTGTTATACAACTCATTAAATAAACAAATACATTTCAAGTTATCATGTTTGATCTTATTTTAATCCGAGAAACCTCACAGTTACATTAGTAAAAGCTTTATTCAGCAGAAATAAATAAAAAAGTTTCATTATTGAATTAGTATTATTCCAATGATATTTTTTAATTCTCACCTTTTGTCCTTATCTAAGTTCGGTAATTCTTTGAGACCCCTGTGCATTTATCCAACTTTTGCTGTATATATTATTGGGTATTGTTATATATACCAGTATTACGGATATTGACCTCAAATACTGATGCGATATATTTAAAAATAGTAGTATATAACATTCCATTACTCGACATTGATAGTGACACAGTTAAAAAGGTTCCAAATCCAGAACTACTACATTATGTTTCTACTTTTATCGTGTACAGCGACAATTCTTAATATTTAAAAATTAATAAAGCTTGTACTTGACCAGGCTTTATTTATGTTTTCAAAAGCTTGACCTCTAAAATTTTCATTTTTAGAATTATGTCACTATCAGTGTAACAATATAACACTAGAAATTCATTATGTTTTCATGTTTTTCAGGAAAAAGTAGCTGGCTCAAGACGGCGTTTCATTTGAAATTTTAACAAAAGAAAAATCGCTCGTTCGAGCAAAATTAGATAAAATAAAAAATTTCTAAAGATTAATTATTTTTATTAATAAATAATTACGTTGCGATCGAGCACTGTTCCGGCATAAGTGCATCGAAAAATTCGCAAGCCAGACTGTTTAGGGAAAATATGGAAGGGATAGAAGGGAATATAGAAACAATAGACGGAAATGTGGAAAGCATGAATGGAAATATCGAAAGCGTAGATAAAAGTATGGAAAAACTGGAGGGAACCAGGAAAATAATGGAAGAAAATATGAAAAGAATAGAAGTAACTAGGAAAAGAATGGAAGGAAGCATGGAAATGATGGAGGCAAATATGGAAATGATGGAAGGAAACATGGAAAGAATGGGAGTGTTCATAAAATCCGAACCCTTTGAATATTACGAACCTGAGAAAAGGAAACGTAAGAATTTTAGTATATTAGAGAAATTAAAAATTTTGGAGGAATTGGACTCTGTCAAGTCGGTAAAGGCAATTATGGAAAAATACGGTGTTCCGGAGAGGACGTTAAGAGGCTGGAAAGGAAAACGTTTTAAACTAGAGGAATTGAATAATACTTACATACTAACAAACAATTCAAAACGCATAAGAGTTACGCCGTTGGACCAACTTGAAGAAGCATTGTATATTTGGTTTAAATGTACGATCGAGAGTGGGATCAGTTTGACAGGACCTTTAGTGACAAGTAAATATTATTTATAAATTTATCATAATGTTAAATATTCATTGAAACGCGTTAAATTTACGTAGAAACATGTATACAGGGTGTTCCATTTAAATCAATCCCCTCTATAATATCTGTAAAATTGTCGATATTGAAAAATATATCATCTAAAAGTTGAACGATGCACATAATTTGATGTAAGAAATTTTTTTGCAGGTGAACGTGTAAAGGACATATGAAGGTTATTGATATTTTTTTTAATGGAACTGCATATTTTATTTTACTTCGATCGATTTTTCGGTGTATGCTGCATAAGAAATATGTACTGTATTGCTTTTTATACAGGGTGTTACTTGTAACGCTACTCACGATTTTTCTCCCACTTGCAGCCAGCTTACGAAAAAATGTTTAGGACAATATTTGCAGGGTATTTAGTGCACAATAGATATTAGTAAAACAAATTTTTAAAACAGTTTGTTCTCTTGGCAAAGTCAAGGTCACCTCGGGTTTTTTAAATAGCAACATACATTTTTTTTTATTCATAGCTTTAGAGGACATCGAGACGAATTCAAAACGTATATTACATGATATTTTTATTAACATATTACTCGATTTACGGAAGTGGAAATGTTAAGTACTTAGCTTTTGACTTTAGTAGTGTAACCATTATTTGGTTCCAAAGAGATTACTGAATGTAAACACGCGACTAGAATGTAAGAAAAATACACTTTATTTAATT